TTTCTTAAGAGTTGTTAGTATTGTTAGTTATTGTACTATGGGAAATCTATCATTTTGGTTCGCAAACTTTTCTTCTTAGCTGATTACTCAATGAACTTCGTTTTTTTTTTTTTCTTTTTTTTTTTTTTTTTTGCGGTTCTACTCCCTAACTTTAAGACTGACGAATAAATTTTGAAATTTCGCAGAGATAAGTTCGTTCTAATTGTATAGTAATTGAAATTTCAATAGAAATGGTTACACTGTAAAATATTCTCTTCATTGCTGTTATATAGTGACGAGAATCAAATTGACAACTCCAACTTGGGTTCGTAAGTATCATTTCATTTAACAATTTCAACCTTCAAAGTTTGTGAGCAATCCCATCAAGTTCATAAGTAATCATATCTCATTTAAGGTTCACAAGTACATCATTTCATTTTGCAATTCTAACATTCAAATTCGTAAGTAATCGAATTCCCTCATTGATTTCGAGAATTCTTCTCCAGACACAGCAAAAATTCTTTTGATAAAAATTCTTAAGAACTAACACATTTTACATCTAATGTAACTATACACACACACACACACACATATATATATATATATATATATATATACATCGGCAATTTTAGTACCGGTGATAAACTGCCTCATAAATAAAGTAGTACAATGCTTGTAGCTTAAGTACTCTCAAAAGTCTGAGTAATGTTATATTTTAGTCATTTAGACAAGGGCATAAATTCAAGTGAAGACTTCCTACCGAAGTAGTTTACCATTAAGGTACACTAGAGTTTTGTAACACATCGAGAAATTAAACGAGATTAATTAAGATAATTAAGATTTATTAGTGTGTCTAATCCGATTTAATTAATTAATAATTGTTTATTAAATATTTCTGACGTGTAAATTTAAATATTTCTAAGGGGTTTAAATATTGTAAATATTTATATTTTTACCCTAGAAGTGTGTGTAGACACATTTGCTGGACTGTCTTTAAATATTTTAACACCGGGTTTTCTTTTTTTTTCTTTTTCTTTTTCTTTTTCTTTTTCTTCTTTCCCTTTTTCCTTCCCGTGCACTCTCTCTCTCTCTCGTTCTTCTCACACGTTCACTCACTCTCTCTCTCTCTCTCTCTCTCTCTCTTCCATTTTTGTCTCGAATCAACCGGGTCTTGAACCAAAGAAGGATTTAAAGAAATTTCAACGTCAAGAGAAGGAATTGAGGTAAGATTTCTGAAAAACCTCTCTTGAATCTTAGATTTTTTCGGATTAGAAACCCTATTTTTGTTCAAAATGGATTTTGGGTGAAACATGGTAGAAATTGGGAATTTTTGGTTCTATGGACTTGATTTGGTAACTAGAACCTAGATTTGGTTGTTTCCCCTTGAAATGTTTTGAATTTGGACTTGAAATTGTAGGTTTTGGCCGAATTTTCTTCAGATCGGCCCTGTCGGTCGAGCTGTCAGGCTCCCACCGGTCGACCTATGCGGTCGACCGGATTGCACTCTACCAGGTCGACCTATGCGGTCAACCGAATTGCACACCACCGGTCAACCGGTGGTGTTGCACATCTCTGTCACCGGTCGACCGGTGTACACGGGGTTTGACCCTGTTTTACTGGAAAACCCTGTTTTGATCATGATTTTCAAAGAGAACCCAAATTAGCTTCATTTGGGGATATAGAGTAGATGGATTAGCATCTTTAATCCATGTTTTGGAATAAAAAACCCTTAGAATGATGATTTGAAACATAAAATGATTTATGGAATTTGAAATTTGATTAAGGCACACTAATAGGAAATCAAAGAGTATAATTGAGATTGAGTTGCTTTAGGAATGAGAATTGGAACCTAAAGTGTTGTTTGTATCAGTGCTAGCTGAGGACTCGGATTGAAGGGCTTTGAGGAAGTGAAAGTCAGAACAGTGCAATGCTAGTCACAGGTTTGGTACTTGAGAGGTAGGATTTCTTACCCCTTTCTTTGATAGCCTAATTTCAAAAGAGTTTTGGCCTTGTAAATGTTTAAAGAAATGGCATGTTTACAAAAGAAAAGCATTTTAAAAATAATACCTTAATTTAAGCTATTGGAATTATAATAAACTATTTCAGAAAGTTTAATGAACGATTTCTTAAGAGATCTTGCGAATCGGTAAACCGGCTGATGGCCTAGATAGGATATGGAGAGTGTATCCTTGGGGGCAGAACCCGAAACTCGGACCGGGCCACTACAGTGGTGTAAAGGCTTATGCTTATGGTTGTGTAAGTAATTCATCAGAGAATGAATTACTTGCTAATGCCTGTAATACGGAATTTTCAGTTTATATTCCTTTCAGAAAAAGGATGTTAGGTTTTGGCTGTTGTGTTGGAACTAAATGTCTATATTTATTTAATTACTTATTCATTTATTTACTTGTTTATAAAGTTATTTCAAAATACATCCTACTAGGCCTTTCGCTCACATTTTATTATTTTATAAATATTAAACCCCTCTCAAGCGACTCTAGAAGCAGTGCGGAGTAGCGGAGTTAGATTGCTACCGTCCGATTAAGAGAGGATTGTGTTCTTCCTCCTTGTGAGTAAATGTAAGAATTGTAAATTCTGTAAACTCTTAACTTTAGATTTTTAGACTATGATTGATGTCTGTAATGTTATTTACATGTTCATGTATGTACAATATTGCATATCTTGTGGGTGAAGCCATGAACGATGCCAGAGGCTTGAGTTTTAACCTCTTGTAATCAAGAAGTGCGGGCGACCTCATAACTTTCTTGTAATTTATTCTCAGCTAAATAGTATGGCTCGTTTGAAGATTTCTTTAATATTTTACTTTGATTTTGATTATTATGATTATAAATGTTTAATTACTTTTTTAATTGCGTTTAACTTCTAAACGAGTCTCTACGTCACTAACCCCGGCTTCAGGGCGTGACAAGCTTACTCCCAAACGATTTAACCATGATTATCTCTTTAAAATTTCAGGAGTGATTCGGCAATTTTAGTACCGGTGACAAACTGGATCAAAAATGAAAATCAGGAGTAATCCATCAAGAAAAAAGTTTCCATTAAAGTGTTAAACTGGAGCTTACTCTCACGCTGCTTGGTAGATAAGAGGCCTAGGTTTAAGTCTCATTTAAAGCGCTTGAGACTATCTCCGGGCTATAAATTTAATGTTCACTAGTCTTTAGTAGGACCTACTAATTTTTCTCACATTGTAACTTATAAGCAGTGGCAGAGTTAGCTTTTTATTTTAGTAGGAGCGTACATTAAATTTTTTTAATAAATTATCTTTATGGGGACATATAAGAAAATATATTTATTTTAATGAGGGCATATATTATTGTAATGGGGTGTAAGTGTAAAATTTTAAAATTTTTAAAAGAAACATTTTTTTTCAAAAAAATTTGAGTGGAGAGCAGTAGTTCTCACTGAATTGTACTTAAATTCGCCACTACTTATGAGGATTTATATATATATATATATATAGAGAGAGAGAGAGTTAGTTGTCCATCCAACACTTTTTACTTTGCCAAAAACTTGTCAAAACATGAGTTCAAACTCAAAACTACCTTCTAATATCATTTGGCAATATATACAGGAGATAATGCAAACATATATATGGGAATTTTATCCAACTTAATCCCGCTGTGTCTGGGATGACTAACAACACTAGTGAGAAGTATTCATGGCTTGTGTTGGATTGTTAGTGTCAATCCAGCTATTTAATTAAAAAGAAAATGAATCAAAGTAAAGATTGTTAATGCATGATGAATCAGTTTTCCATTCCGTTTCATTCATGGATCAGTATCTCTCTTTTCTCTCCCAAACTCTACACAGTGATTCAATGAATTGAACTGTGAAAAAGTGCCCTAGTGAGCTGTCCAAATCCTGGTTATTTTTTTTTTTTTTTTATTTATCTTGTTGCTTTTGCTTTTCCACAGACCAAAGTACACATATGGTCGTTCGCTTTTTAGTGAAACAATAATCAATATTGTAATAGAAGAATCGGAAAATGTTTGAATATGGACGGGACATTTTCTGAAACCCTCGGATTCACCCACTAAATACACGGAGAGTAAGTGGTTTTTGTATTCACAAAAGAAATGCACTCAATGAATTGTACAATGCTTAGAGTGGCCCCATCTTCCTCGACTGAATGATGTAACCGTAAAAGAAGCAAATTTGGCCTTGAATGTGGGGACCTCATATGCTTTAGTACACATCACATGTCTTTTTTTTTTTTTTTTTTTTTTTTTTAATAAATGGCAGAAACACGTAAAATAACACACGATGGATCGACCACAAGGGCTTCAAGAGGCACTAATAATATATTATGGCCCGTAAATGAACCCCATTAAGTCATACTATAGAGTTAATAGTTGACTGTGAAGGAACTTATGGACGTTTATGGGATGTTTGGTATAAGGATTCGTGTTATGATTCGAATCATGATTCGTAGTTCATTATAGTATTTTTTTCTCATAAAAATACACGTAAATCGAAAATAATTCTAAATCATGATTCTAAATCTGTGAACTAAACGTCCACTTAAATATTACAAGTGTACCTCACTCGATTAGCCTCGGTAGTTATTATTATTATTTTTTTTTTTTTTTTGATAAATGCACAAAAACAAAGAACACACAATCTAAGGGTAAATCGATCACAATACCTTTAGGAATAGATAATGCTATGATCCATAAGTGGATCCCAGACACTCTCCAGCTTTACATCTACATGTAATAGAATTTTTACCCGTCTCCTACTTTGCAATAATTCAGCACAAATGAATGTGTCGCCATTGTGTGTAGAAAAGAGAGAAGTTTGCCTTTTTCTTGGCGATTTAACTATTCTATTGTGCTTGTTTGTGGACCTTAAACACATGATGCAAAGGAAAAGGCAAGAATTGGGAAAGTTTTGGGGACAGAAAGCAGGTTTCTGGAGAGGCTGCTTTAAGTATATTATATTATATATTATACAATCAAGCTTCAAAAATAATATTTATATATATTTCACCAAGCCAAAAATTATAATACGATATGCTTCTGCAACAGAATAAACATTAATTATGATAATACAACATTTTTTTGCTACTCCATTGAGAAAATCAGAGCAATAGTCACCAACAGTTCTCAAGATGTTACCTCCACATCCCCCATATCTACAACTAAAAGAAAAATGGACGCATAAGGTTAATTAACTTGGCACACGTGATTGATTAACACCCAACAAGACCATATAGTTGTTTTTTTTTTTTTTTCGTTCTATCAGATCAGCATTATCTCAAATGTGATGGTGTTGTAGCTGCAACAGTCTTGAATAGGCTCCCTCAGGGCGGCTCACTAGCTCGGAGTGGCTGCCCTGTTCCACGATGCGTCCATCTTGAACGACGCCAATGGTGTCGACACCTCTAATTGTCGACAGGCGGTGTGCTACCAACACAGTGGTTCGGCCCCTCATGAGCCTCTCAAGTGCTTCCTGCAGCACGCATTCTGATTCAGCATCGAGGGCACTTGTGGCCTCGTCCAACAGAAGTATTGTTGGGTCTTTAAGGACCGCTCTGGCAATTGCTATTCTTTGTTTCTGCCCACCGGAGAGCTGAACTCCTCGTTCCCCGACTGGAGTTTTGTATCCATCCGGCAATCCACTAACGAATCCATGCACATTGGCTGCACGGGCTGCCTCAATCACTTCAGTTTCCGTTGCCCCTTCTTTGCCATAGGCAATGTTGTCAAAAATGCTGGCCGCAAACAAGGCCGGTTCTTGTTGCACCAACCCCATTTTGAGCCTAAGGGATTTCAAGTTGAGACGCCTGATGTCCTTTCCGTCGATCATAACTTTCCCGACGACTGGATCATAAAACCGCTCAATTAAAGCAATGACCGAACTTTTTCCAGAACCGCTAGCCCCAACAAGTGCTTGGCTTTGGCCAGCACGGATCCTTAGACTTAGATCCTTGAACACCATGACATCAGGCCGTGAAGGGTATGCAAAATCAACATGTCTAAGTTCAATTTCCCCACGGATTGATTCCACCGGTTCGGCATCAGGGTCATCAGGATCAATCTTTGTCTGACGATCGAGAATTGAAAAAACGGAGCCAACAGCTTCACCACCCCTGATGATCTCCGGAGCAAGGCTAACAGTTTCTGCAACCGAGTTGGCTGTAATGACCAAGACCACAAAGACCTTGATCACCTTTGAAAAAGTTGAGACACCTTTGCTGACAAGGTGGGCACCATACCACAGAATGAGGGCTTCGGAGGCGTAGAGAGCGAGCTGGGAGAGGCCAAAAAGGAGGCCGGAAGTTTGGCTGCGGCGGAGGCTGTGCAGTTGAGGGACACGGAGCTCGTGGCAGAACAAGGAGAGGATCTTGTTTTGGGCATTGAAGGCAGCAACTGTACGGATGTTGCTCACACCTTCCCCAGCAATCATGCTAGTCTTTGCATGAGCCTTCGCCGTGTCTCCGGCAAACCCTTTGAGAGAGAGTTGCTGTTCAAAATGCCATTAAAAAACATGAGAATGAGACAATGATACATCATAATCTGTTTTTTGAAATGAAGAATACTTTGAACCTACACATAACTAATTACTTCATTGACCGTCTTATAACAACAATTGAGGAAAAGAAACTGTACTTTTAAGTTAAAATTCCAATTATTTCCAATTAAATTACGGGCCCGTTTAGTTCGCTGATTCGAGTTTTTAATTCGAGTTGAGATGTGATTTTATGTGAGAGCTTTTTACTGTAACAAAAAAGTTAAATGTGATTGTTTGTGAGAGCTTTTTACTGTAGCAAAACTCGAATTCTAAACTCGAATCAGCGAAATGAATGGGGCCACATGAACATCCTATCCATGGCCCTTCTGGTTCACAGTTTGAACCACAATTCAAACATGTATACCACTGTTTTTTCTCACAGAAATTCTAACTTTTGTTCAAACTTGTGAACTAACGGAATATTAGTCTTTTCTTTAGTGATCAGCATATCATTGTTTCTATAATTATTCCAAAGAGAATTCCTTTAGCTATATATATTATTTGAATTGTTTCTGGGGTTGGTAAGCACTTATTGCTTAATACATGCACCTACTCTAATGGGACCAATCCAAGCACAGAGAAGTAATAAAACATGATCATTCAGAAGATGAGGGTTCTTCCTGGTGATCTTTGTACGAGACAAAGACATTAATATAATGCGCAAGGTACGTCCAAAAACAGTGTTTTTAAAATTTTCACTGTGCATAGAGCATGCGCAAATTCAGAAAAACTGGTAATACAAGACAGAGCGCCAGAGGAATCGGTCCTGTAGTTTGAAAACGAACACATTTTCTGGAGCACTTAATTGATTGAACCCTCAAAACGACAATACTTAAAAGGGATTCAGCGCAAGTTAGCTGACACCATCAATGAATGACAATAATAATAATAATAATAAAAGAACCAAAAATAAAAAAGGAGATAAAAATAAAAGAGAAAAAAAAAAAGAGGAGAAAATCTCTGCCAAAAGAAATTTTCTTTTGTTGATTTTTATAGTGTAAATCTGATCACGGGCCTAGAGTTTTCTGGTGGTTCTCACATGGGTGTCTTGGATATGGAGTAAAGAAAGCAATCAAAGCTCATGTACCAATCTGAGCAATTAAAAAAGAAAAAGAAAAAGAAATTTAAAAAAAAAAAGCTCATGTACCAAGAAGGGAAAGAAGAAAAAAGAAATGTAGGACCTTCAAGTTGGGCCTTTATATTCAGACAGAGAACTGAAATATACTGTGATTTGCAGGTAAAAACTTATAAGAGGGACAAGAAGCTCTCTGAGTTTGACTCTGGAGTTTTAATGAGAAAAACCATGAAAAAAAAAGATCATAACCTCGAGATATTCATATAATCAAACAAATATCAAAAAGAAAAAAAAAATTCTCGAAGAAATAAACATGGAAGATGTATGGAAGTTGATGGGTGGTCATGGAATCAATTTATTTATATTCTAATATTCCTTTGATGTCATACAGGAGAGATTATAGTAATATATCCAATCTGACTTATTTTCAAAAGAGTGAGTTTTTTATGCACCAGAAACGGTGAAAGCACGTGCAGTGGAAAGGAACAGTGACACGTTCACTTTTGTTTGTTTGTTTGTTTTTCTGGTTTTGTCGTTTAATACTAGGATGTGGTGAAAGGTTAGATTCCAAAGAAGTGAATGCAGATGTAACATCTGACACACGTATGGAAAATTAATATAAATATAAGTGTAACTGACACTAGTCCCATATGCTCTCTCGCTGGACTTAGGTCATCCTCTAAATAAATTAAAAAAATAATAAAAGAAAAAGAGGTTCAAATTTAAAAGCAGCAAGGCTTTGTGCATAATAGAGCAAAGAGAGAGGAAAAGATAATGTATTTTATAAAAGCAAAATGTAACGTATAATTAGTTGCACTTTTGTAAATTTAAAAAAAAAAAAAAAATGGTGCGGCTTTCTACTTCTAAATTAGTTGGATTAGATACCATCAAAATCACATCATAATGCGATCAAAATCGTGTCCAAAGAAGAAAAAAAAAAAAAAAAAAAAAAAAAAAACCTGACAGAAATGTGATTGAAATTTGACAAAAGAAAAGGACTGACATTTTTTTTATATGTGATAAAAGATCAAATTATTTACCTGGGCAAAATTGGCAAGGACTAAAAGTGGGAATGTAGCTAGGATGAGAAGTGAGACCCTCCATTCCACAATGAAAGCGACAATGAATGAGGTGAGTAGTGAAGTCATGTTTTGGAGTATAACAGAGATTCTTTCAGCAATGGCGGATTTTACATCGGATGCATCCGTCGCCAAACGAGCCGCCACAAGGCTTGAGTTATGCTCCTCTTCATCAAACCACCCAACTTCATTCCTTAAAATTGCTGAACCAAAACAGAAATGAGAATCAAAAAGAGAATCATGATAGTGATATATATATATATATACACAGAACGAAAACAAAAATTAACGTTATGTTGTATACCTGCAAGCATCATTCTTCTCACTCTAGTGGTGAGATTTTCTCCCATAATGCTAAAGAAGTAATGTTGTATCAAGTATGCAACCACAGCATAAAGACCAGCTCCTATGTAAATGAAAACATATTCCTTGGTTTTTCTCTCCATTGAGGCAGGGTTTCTGTAGTAGAAAACCTCAATCATATTGCTCATCACAATGGCAAAGGTTGGGCCAATGAAACCGGATAACACGGACCCTACGGCGCCCATAATGGAGTATGGCCATTCAGGGGCGTTCAGCTTGAGAAGGCGGAAGAAGTAACCATCTGGTGCTGGGTTTTTCCTCTCTGTCTCAGCATTTGAGATCATCTCTATCCGTCCATCGGCACCACTACTGTATGAGTAGCTCAGGTTTCTTAAGCTGCCTGATCGAAGACTCAATGATTTTGTGGACAAGGAGTGACTTAGTCGTGATGAGCGTGAACGACGGGTAGACGGGTTTGAGAAGTCCCTGTTCCTAACCATTTCTTGGAATCTGATTAAGGATGCATAGGCACCGGGTTTGGCAATCAATTCTTCATGGGTTCCTGTCTCAACAACCTGTCCTTGTTGTATAACGGCAATGCTGTCGACATTTCTAATGGTGGAGAGTCGATGAGCTACAACCACGGTTGTTCTTCCAACCATGAGCCTGTCTAGAGCCTCTTGAACAATGCTCTCCGACCCTGCATCGAGCGCACTCGTTGCTTCATCAAGGAGGAGGATTTTGGGATTCTTCAACATCGCTCTCGCAATTGCAATCCTCTGCTTTTGGCCACCAGAGAGTTGGACTCCTCTTTCTCCTACCTGGTTTCGGATCAAGAAAAAAGCTCACATAATTAACATATTACTCTGAGCATTGATTTTCTAATATTCTAGATTGCAAGATTATTAGTCTTTGATGATGTAAACCCGATACCAACCTGAGTGTTGTACCCATTAGGAAGCAAAGTTATGAAACTATGAGCATTTGCTGCAGAAGTTGCAGCTTCGACTTCAGCCATTGTTGCGTCAGGCTTTCCATAGAGTATGTTCTCCAATATGGTGGTTGCGAACAGCGCAGGCTCTTGGTTTACCAGCCCAATCTGGTCACGTAACCATTTTAGTTGCAGTGTTTTTATGTCCACATTGTCCAGCAAAACCTGCCCTGCTCAGCCAACCAAAAAAAAAAAAAAAAGGGCGTTAATACACTCTAATGAATTTCTCTTATTAGGATCAATACAAAAGAGAAAATATTAATTACCCTGATTAGGATCATAGAACCTCTCAATGAGAGAGACAACGGTGCTCTTTCCCGAGCCACTACCACCAACAACAGCAACAGTCTTTCCAGCGGGGAAGAAGATTGAAAAATTCCTGAAAATGAAAACGTCCGGCCTTGATGGGTAGCTAAAAGTTACATCCTTGAATTCTATGTTTCCATTGACCTCAGCCAAACACTTCGCATCCGATGCGTCCTGAGTTATAGACGGTTTCTGATTAATGATCTCCATCAGCTTGTCCCCAGCTGCTTTGCCTTTGCTGAATGCTCCAAGGTTCGAAAATGACTGGCCTAAGCTCCTGTTACATCAGTAGTTGCCATATGAGAATCATTTGTCTTTTCATCTGAAATGGTAAAAACAAGAAAAGTTCTGAAGCTTGAATTCTTTCTTACATGCCACCAACAATGGCGGAAAAAATCGCCGTGAAGGCTTTCCCCCCATCGCTCTGCCCGTTTCTGATGAACACACCGGCATACCAGAAAACAAGTGCCCATGACATGCAAGCTATGCCATAAGTACATCCTAGCCCCAATCCTTTGGCCATTCCAGCCTTGTACCCAAGCTTCAATGTGTTCTGTATGGCATCTGAATATGAATTCAATGCCTTGCTTTCTCCAACATAAGAATAAACTGTCCGAACTTGTGCAATGGCCTATGCAATTAGAAAAGGAAAAAAAAAAAGATAGAGAGAGAATAATTAGAAGCCCAGAATTAACCCTTTAGAAGCAGACATAAAAATATTAGCATCACTGTCAAATTAAGAATTCATTGGTACAAGTCTTGCACCAACACAAACCATAATCATTAAAGAAAAAAAAAACCAACAAAAAAGGACAAAAATAAAAAAAAGAGAGAGAGAGAGAGAGAGGTAGTGGAAAAAATAACTCTCAGGCGTGGTTCGTTGCACATGAAAAAACCCATCATTTCAGAAATTTGTTTTGTTGTGAGAGAAAAAAAAATAAAAAGTAAGGAAGAAAAAACTACTAACTTGTTCGGCAATAACACCGGCGTTGGCGTAAGATTGACGACTCTTGGAAGTAAGGCCAGTGAGGGTGTAGGCATATAATCCACCGGCGAAGGCAATGCCAGGAATCACCGCCACACTCAGCAGCGCAAGCCTCCATGCTGATACAAACCCCACCACCAGCCCCGCCAGAAATGTTGACAGATAATGAATAAAGTTTCCCACCTATATTACCAACAAAACAAAACACGCACCACTGAACACATTCAGCTTTTTTTCATTTTCTGATTTGCTAACGTGCGCCATCACGAACTGTAGTAAACAAATAAAAACTGGCTATATAGCTAAACAAGAGCGGAACAGGCGCACGTTAAGCAGTGGTTGCTAACGTGCGCCTCCAACGGGTATTTATGATAATCCTGTCATCTGGGTACTGTCAAGATTGCAAGAGATTTGAAGGCGAAAAAAAAAAAATTTTTGAAAATCGCAACGATAAGAAACGGAATGGAGGTGGTTATAGTGGCGCACGTTAAGAAGTGATTGCTAACGTGCGCGTGATGAAGGAGAAGAGGATTTAGTAGTGGGGGACCCTTTATATTAATGCCACTGCCAACTACCGCCGTGCCCCCCCAGATAAGCCACTGCCATCTTCATTCTTCTGTGACGATCTATCACCACCACCACCCCGAGAACTATGCCAAAGCCAACTATAGATTTCTTTCCGTTGCGGTACAGAGAGAGAGAGAGAGAGAGAGAGGAAATAAAACGGAGAAGGTGAGAGACTGAGCATATGCATGTGTGACAGACAGACAAGAGAGAGAAACAAGAGAGAGAAAGAGAGAGGAGCAAGTGTTATTAATTAATTTATAAAAACAAAAGAAAAAGAAAAAGAAAACCTTCTCGCTAATGGCATCTTGGACGAGAAGAGTGTCCGTTGAGACGCTGAAGACGATGTCTCCAGTTCTAGCGTCCGTGTCGAAGAAACCCACGTCCTGTTTCAGCACAGCCTCTAAATACTTCTTCCTCAGCGTTCCCACTTGCCTCTCTCCCGTGTACATCCAACATGCAATCTCTGATCATCAACACATATTATTTTCAACGTCAAAACGAATAATCTATACAAAAAAAAAAAACATTCATATTAATATATATATATATATATACCAAGTGGGCTCATCGTCTAGTCCTATATATATAGTCCGGATTGCTATATACATATACATATCACCTTATTATTTGAGCACCAACCAAAAAGAAACAAAAAAAAAAAAAAAAGAGACGATTTCATTTAAGTTCAAACAATGAACAATAAACATACCTGCATACGATGAGACGCACACAACAAGGCCTAGGTAGACAAAGTAAAGAGAGTACTGCAAAAAAGGAAAAATGACATTAATCAGATCTCAGATCTGACTCTGGTTAATTCAAAAAGAATGGTCCGATCATATATATAAATGATTCATGAACAGCTGACCTTGGATACTTCGTCGGTCATTTTTCTTAAATCCATTTGGTTTTTGCCGAAGCCATTAACCATCTGGCCGAACAGCAAGAAGAAAAAAGGCATGGAAGAGCCATGGATGACAGCTCCAACACTACCAGAAATCATGAGGAGATAATCGTACTTGTCTGCGAAAGAGAAGAGCTGGTGAAATGGAAGTGTCTGCTCTTTCTTCTTCTCCGCCTCCGGCAATGTCTTTGCCTCTGCGCTCTCCGCCATTGCAATACCCACAAAAGATTCTTCACTTTCAATTTCAGTAAACTAAAAGAAGAGCAAGAAACAAAAAAAAAGAGAGAGATTGGTAAAGTTGATGGCTTCAGTGAAGTGGGTTTGTTGCCATTAAAGAAAAGTGAAGAAGATCGATGGTTAGTACTTGTGATTAAATTATAACCGTAGAGGTATGGCCTTTTCTGGGCATTGAATAGAGAAAGAGGGAGAGATCTAAAATTAAAGTAAGCTTTCTCTTCTTAATCCTTATCTCTCTTTTTTGTCTCGAAGAACTGTCAATGTCGTTTTTAGTTTATCAGCCCAAGAGAGGCCTTAGCCTTAGACAGACTACTCCCCAGCAGGGCTATAGCTACGCTTGCCGGAATATGAGAGAGAGAGAGTTGACTAATGGTCAAAGGGAAGTGAAGAAAATGAGGTTTAGAGACAGACAGGTGTGTGGTGTTTTATAGTGAACAACTCTCACAAGATGAAAACTGAAAAATTAGAGCAACTTTTTTTTTTTCCTTTTCTTTTTTATATACTGGTTAAGTTTGGTTTGGGGAATCTTAGGGTGAAGAGTGATTCATTTTCTGATTTAAATTATAATTTATGATTTATTATAGTATTTTTTTTATAAAAAATATATATAAATTAAAAATTATTTAAATCACGTAATTTGAATTCTCCAATCAAACGTTCTCTGAATTTTTTTGTCTTTACTTAACTTGGGGTTGCTTTGGTTCTTGTTCCGGGGATCGGAAGAAGTTGAATAATAATATAAAAAAAAACAATGTATTTATTAAAAAGAAAAAAAAAAGGTGATCAAGAAGAGCATAAACGTGGCAAACATTTGTTGGTGGATATGATGAAGTGAAGAAAAAGTTATTTTTATTTTTACTAGGGAAGATAGTAATTACAGCTTCCTTGGCTACTATACGATACTGAGGAGGCATAGTTATTGTTATTAAAAGGATCAGCTTTATTGGTCAAAAGATACTTGTTGATATTTCCTCCTCAAAATCTCTTGCCTTTTTTTTATTTTGAATTATTATTATTTTCATGCACCAAAAAAAAAAAAAAAAAGAATTGTGTGTACTTGCAAGTAAGTAATGGGGTATGGATTTCTTATTTCGTATTGGAATTTGCATTGCTTTATACTTTTCTCTGTGAGCCATTTTCAGAAGCACCTTTTTTACTGACATTTTGGATGTGTTATTGCAGACTTTCTATATATATTTTCTGGGAATACTTCTCAAAATTGGCTTCTCCTGAGCTGTTGAATAATTCTTTTCATTTTATATACCCTTTCATTTCTGTCTCAATAAGCTAGATTTATATATCACAACTGAAAAAAAAAAAAAAAAAAAAACACAGAGAGAGAAGAAAATGGTATACCATTGATTTCCCAAAGATAGCTTCTATAATAAATAACTTTAATATGATTATAAACAGCAACTATTTTTTTTCATTCAAAATCATTGTGTTTTATGATTTGAACTGGTCAACATGTTAGTCAGATCATCGTAAGAAAGAAAGTGGCTTTCCCATTTTCATTTCTGGCCAAAGAAGAAAGTGGCAACTGAGCTAAAAAAATTATCAATCCTTCACATGCCAAACAAACTCATTTTCTTGCATTTTCAGTTTTGAATTTTTCGATTTTCTCCCCCCCAAAAAAAAAAAAGAAAGAAAGCAACTAGCCAATAATTGGACTGGTGAAGTTACTATTCAAACAGTATTTCTTCTGCTATCATTTGCAGCATTTCATGTGGCACAATGCCATACTAATTGTGTCTCTGCCCAAAGGACATAGACATTGATATGGGATCTCCTTTTTTACCTCCATGTCCACAGGAGCAGCTCCAATCAAATCGTCTTTAATTCAAAATTTTGAAAAATAAAATAATACCAAATCAAAGGAATTAAACCCACTAATTACCTAGCGTGCCTTTTGCTCACTATGAAGTTAAAAAAATATAAAATAAAAAAAGGGACAAACACATTATATTGGCTAAAGTGTTTATTTATAAGATGTTTATTTTAAGAGTTCGTTCATAATTTGAAGCATAATTTTTAATTTTTTATAATTTTTTTTTTATAAAAATTTAAATTTTAAAAATAAAAATTATAAATCATGATTCTGAATCGATAACCAAACGTCTCATTAGTTATTTGTTTTTTTATTTGGAATAATAGGGCAATGCAATGAAAGGCAGGGAATAACACACTCTATAGCTTCCCTACTGAAGTTGACTTCAATAGATATAGTTAGTGTGCTTTAAATGCAGAGAAGAGCAAAAATAAATAAACAGAAATGTATGAAAATATCATTAATCACATGGATGTTAGGTAGACACACTTGAAGATATTTGCACTATTATCTTCAAAATCATGATTCGATTATCTTAATGAAGATAAAAATTCATAATTATCGGCCATGATTTGATTCCATAAATAAAGAGGAAAGGTTCATTAGCATTCGGTCGGTGCAGGTACAAAGCCAATCTTTGCTTTTTTTTTTTTTTTCCTACGTTAGTGTATAATTTTTCTCTCTTTTATTTTTCTAATTTTCAAGTTCATCTAAATATAGTACTTGGTATAATTTAGCGTTAACTTCATACCTAATTTTAACATAAGATACAGAGTTCAAATCTCCAATCCGAAATTAAAAGAAGAATTACATTATGTAGTTTTCATTTAACTAAGTACAAATATAATACCTGTCCTTAAAAAAAGCATAATATCATTTATTAACAATTTATCATATATCTGGATCAGTTTCTAATTAGTAATTAGAACTACATCACAAAATCAGCATGAAATTATATGAGAGTATGATCCATCAATGTATTTTTATTTTTTACGTTTTGCTAAGAAATGCATCAATGTATCCTATCCTAAAGTAGTAAATGTTGACTACTAAGGACAAATATAATATCATTTTTTCTTTTAATGGTTTTTCTTTTGTTTTATTAATTTTCTCAACTCTTATATTTTCAAATATGTTGCATTGAAATATCATTTCTCTAACCTTAAATATTATGTTCTCATATATCTCCTTTAAATAGTTTATTGTCTAATATGTTTGATTTAACTAAACTCTCAAGAAAATAATAAATCAAGAAAAGAAAACTAAAATTTTAAAATAAATTAACGTATCCTTAAAATTCAAACTACTGAATGCATATGTGCTTACAACTAGTAATACACAAAAAAAAATCATACTAAAAGAAAGGGTTTCTTTTTTTTTTTTATAATATCCATTTTGAGATCAATAATAAAAAATAAACTTAAATAAAAAACTCACACCTTATACTTTGAAGTGTATCAAATGTATAGCTTCAGTTTTCAAAATCATGTTAACTCCCTATCTTTTTTTGGTCAAAGGTTGATTTTGATTACCAATAAGGTCTAAATATCATTTATGTTTTGCTATTTTTATGTTTTATTTTTTTTATTATTATTCTTTTTGTCTTTAAGAACAGTTAGGTCTTTTTTTAAGTTAAAATTGATCATTGATGACTTCAAATTGTAAGTTAATAAAAGAAAAAAAAAAAAAAAAAGAAGAAGAAGAAGAAGCAGATTTGTAACTGTATTAAATTTGAGACCTTTTGGGCTAAAGTGTTTGAATTTGGGCTCATGCGAACTTAGGCCCAGTATATTCATACTTTCTGATCAGAGTTGGAGTTGGACCATGACCAACGTTCAAGATTTACGCTATTTTTTTATTTAGTTCGCTGATTCGAGTTTTTAATTTAAATTGAGATATAATTTTATATAAGAGTTTTTTAATGTAACAAAAAATTTAAATGTGATTATTTCTGAGAGCTTTGTAACAAAAAATTTGTACGTGAGTGTTGTGTTATGCCCGCAAGAGAATAAACAATTAATAGACAACTAAAAAGGCAACCAAAAACTAGCCAAAAAAACAAACAAACTTAGAAGGTTACAAGTTGAAGCCTTAACTACTTTAATTTGAAGGAAAATATATATATATATATATAAATAATTTACATGGTTACTAGCTATTACTAACCTGTAATAGGTTACAAAAATAACTAGGGTTTGGTTTTAATAGGATAGGCCCGCCAAATCTAATTGTAGGATATGTTTTAACTTCCCACTGCACAGTTACAAATAATATAAAAAAAAAAAAAATTCAATCCAAACAATCATTTCATAATTTTTGCAAGCATCATCAGACAATGACAATTCCATAATGAATGATCTTGAGATCACATGTAAGTAAGTGGAGCATCTTCTTGGGAATGTTACCAAAACCAAACCAATTATCTTATTATCTTAACAAAATAGTTCCAACTAAACTCTTATGAAAATAACTTTTGTCGCATTAGTTTTTTTTTTTCTATGTAATAATATTAATTGAGTTTAGGACTAGACATTGTCAATTATGAACTGTCAATATTTATACCAAGAAACACAAGAGACCTGTCATAGAAATTTCGTCAATGAGAGTGAGAATTGGAGGAAAAAGTTACCAAAAGTAATTATAAAATAATCAACAAGATGCTTAAACGTTGAAAGTTTTATATATCAAAGTCACAAAAGGAGGAGACACCCCAAGTGTACTTGTGAGGTCCTATGGCCCCCTAATCCCTATGCCTCCAAAAATAAAAAAATAAAAAAGTTGTGTTTAAAAATTGAGAGGATTATAATAATATAAATACAACAAGAATTGAAATTGTTTTTTGGCCAAAAGAATTTTTCTATGAGATGAAGTGGCTTTGGTCGCCTTGTATCTTCTTTTGGGAGCATATGATTCGCTTTGATCAACTTATTTAGTCCTAGTTTATGTTTCACTACTACCACAGATAGTATTTCTAGCATGTGACATGTTCCTACCAAATAGAGTTTTGGTTTTATCTTTATTAAGTCTTTAATAATATATATATATATATATATATATTTCCTTAAAGTATTAAATTATTGTTGGCTCACATCCTAACAGCTTAAGCTTTTAGGATGAATTGGTAAACTAACATGGTATCAGGGTGGGAAGTATTGAGTTCAAACTCCCGTAATTGTACTCTTTATCTCTATTTAAATTATCATCATGTGTTGAGTCTTTAATATATCACGGGCTTAAATATTCACGTATTGAGCTTTCTAATTAATTTACCTACACGATTGTCAATTGTTCAGCCCACACGTGAGAGGGGAGTGTTAAAGTATTAAACTATTATTGGTCTACCTCCCAACAGTTTAAGCTCATATATACATACATAAATAACTAAGGCTTCTCTCTACCATCCAAATGAAGATGATCATTATCACGTATAACATGAACAACATATATAGTTGTTTTTTGAGTTGTGCAGCTAAAATAGTTGAAGCTAAAAGAGAGAAGTCTTATGGTAGCCAATAGTCAAAAGCTCGTATTTCAAAGTCATGGACCACATTT